CAAGTATGCCGGTCTGCAATTCGCGACTTGTAAATTGTTATGAAAAATTGATTTTGATCGGACTTATGTGGACTTCAAACAAAGTTCTACGCAACTCATTTATTATCCCTTTTTAATATTAACCCTCAAAGGACAATCACATCTGAAAAATATTTTGAGTATTTTGGTAATTGAATTTGACAAATATTTTGAGTATCTTGATAACTGATCGTGCAGTTATACATTCAGTTATATCCTGAAGAAGAAATAATTTAAGTAGTGTTATAATGTAGCTATATAACTAAATGTCTGTCTTCATGTCTCTTTTATATTAAAACTTATTAAACAGCGCTCCACGTGAATTAACTCTTCACACGTAAGCGCAAGTTTGAAGCATATTTGAATATTGTTTAAAACATCCAATGTAAAAGCAAAAATTGTTTAAACCAGTAAATGTAGCTCACAACTATGAAATTTAAAATAATTCAGATGCTAAAGCACCGGAGGAAGGACGTGAATGAGGTATTCATGAAATAAATTGAAAGTTAATGAACAAAATATGGAGGACATTAATAAAAAGAACGAAAGTGGCGCTGCGTTAAAGGTAATAATACGAGCCACTTTTCGAAAAGTTTTAATTTGAATTGCAAAAGAAAGTCGGAAGTAACGTAATGAAATTACAACGTAATTTCTCGTGTTAAATGTCCCGAACAGCCCCGGTTAAATGTGCGTTGCCCGAGTTTAAGTATTGCGGGCAGCCGGAATAATATGGAACACTTCGATATAGGAAGAATAAAATATGAAAGTCTGTAGAAGAACGGCTTGAAACCGAATTGGAGCACCGAAAAGCTTTAAAAATTAATAACAAAAATGCCGCAATTTGCCGCACAGATACCGCACTCCCTGATATCCCTTGAACCTTTTGAAGATGAATCTCAGTAGGTTTCAAGAATATCGTGCATCTGTATAATTGAAAAGCAAGAATTGCTTTTTTTCTGCTCTTTACGGTCAGAAGTACGCAATTCGATCGATAATGAAATTATTAATTCGATTGCGATATTAGGGTATCGTTTTGGGTTCAATTTTATTTCGGGGTGAAAATTGTGAGGATGGTGTAGGAGGAAATTTTTTAAAGATAAATAATGCACATTATATTGATATTTACGTGATGTAAAAATAATGAACGTTGACCTCTTTAGGGGTCGAATATTAGGGCGGAAAAAATATTTAAATTTTAGATATTCAAAAGCTTTGAGGTTTTTAAACCGCTGAAATATCAAATGTTCGAATTTTAAGACACTGAATATTCAAATGTTCGAATTTAAGACACTTAATATTCGAATATTTGATTAACAAATATTCTAGTATTCAAGTACTCAAATTTCTCATTTTTTTAATGCGAGAACTTTTTGAATTTTTAATGATAAATACCAATGACAATTTAATGATAAATGCAATAACAATTAATAACATGATATCATGGTCATAAACATTAATACCATGATTCATAGAACCATCCTCAATAAATAATTCATGGGATCATAATTAACAAATAATAGAATCATTATGATAAAAACAGTGACTTTCGAAAAATAATTTACAAGCCACCCCTAAAATCCAGCAGCGTTTAATTACCAAAGCCAGTTGCAAAATGCCTACATAATAAAATAAACAGCGCAAAAAATAGTCTCGTCAAAGCGAAACCGCAAATAACAAATAATGGATACATCATAACGCACAAAGACTCCACACCGAACCCAAATAATTGGAATATCAAATATCTCTGACAACAGCTAAAAAAATGCACAATCAATCGCATTCATTATTTCCATCGAAATAAACTTTCATTTCGAACACTGGGCATATAAAAAAAAAATCAGCGTATCGAGTAAAATCGCCGTTCACAAAAAAGCAGCCTAAAACTTCGGTGAAAAAGGATCCGGAAGAGTGTCGCGAAGAGATCAAGATCGATCTGACAGCGGTATCTGTGTCCCGTAGGAATGATTTGTGGGTCTGTCTGTTGCTCTTTCGGTGACGACCGGGTCACGGTGGTTCGCGTACGAAGAAAGGATTCGAAATGGAGCCGGGCACAAAGGCGAATCGGAGCATCGAGGTGTTAAGAGGACTCAGGGAAGACGATATCCTCCCGCATACGGTTCTCTGTTGACTGAAGCGACTTAAGTCAACGCGGCGCTCACCTACGCTCCGGCACACCGCCTTCTCCTCCTCGGAGGGTAGAGGATGAAAAGCGACGAGGGGAAAACCGTGAAGTTGGAGCGAGAGAGTCGGACAGAGCGAGAGAGTTTGGTCTCGCAAGCCGGAGGAAGAGGAGGCGAGTAGAGGAAGCGAGAGGAGTCGCGAAGGGTTCAAGTATAAGGATACCGAGGCATGCGCCGTCCTATCATATTGATCTCGCCATAGTAACGATTCTCTCTTCTCCGGCGATGTTGGCATGCACTATAGCAGAGGGGGACGAAGAGGGCAAAGCTGACGAGCACGGCGGAAGGGGGTTGTACCGCATGGTATACCATGCCACCCCACGATGCGCGGATGTGGGCCGTTCAGGGGTGAACGAGAACGACGGACAGAGAGCGGCGAAAGAACGAGAGAGGTAGCGCGTGCACCGAACAAGGATGAAAGAAGGGACAGAGTGGGTCCAGGTTAGTTGAACAGAGAGGACAGAGGCCGTGGCGGTAGGCCACACAGGGCGCTAGCGCCAAAGAGAGCCGAGGCGGCGATACCGCGCGGCGCTGCAGCCAAATGAAAATCAGTCCAGCGTTGGTCGCCGGCGAGGGCGCATCTGACAACAGACACGGAAGGAACTCGAGGACACTTTGGCCAGAGATCCGTGCACTCGCGGTCGGTCGATCAATCTCGAGGGAATCGGGTTTACGATGTTAACCGTGCTCCGGGAGTCACGGTGCTGACGGTCAGACGCGCTCTGGGAATCGGCGGGGATCGGG